ACATTATCTTTGACATGGCATTACCTTCACTGTTTCAGCTTTGCATTCACTGTCATTCATCTTCAATGTCTATAGTGAAGCAAGTAATTGGGTCATTTCTTCGCATCATACAAATATGTGAAGCCTGCGAGTCTACAACAAATTGGGATAGTCAACTATTTCTCAACAACGTTCCAGCTGGAAACATATTGATATCATCATCAATTCTTTTTAGTGGATGTCTTCCAGAAAAATCTCTTCAATTGTTTCGTAATATTGGGTGTGAAACGATTTCCAGGAGGACATTTTTTGATCATCAGAAGGCCTACTTACTGCCATCAATTTTTTACATCTGGGATAAATACCAACAGTCTTTATTTTCTCAGCTGGCTTCAGAAGGTATACCTCTTATAATAGGAGGGGATGGTAGGGCTGACAGTCCAGGTCACAGTGCCAAATTTGGTGCATATTATATGATTGAGCTAACTCACAATGTTGTTTTAGATATACAAGTTGTTCAGGTATAGAGTATAATTAATGCACTTCAATATGTACTGCTTTATTTTTTAGAGTAATGAAGTTGGTGGTAGTTACCACATGGAAAAGGAGGGTTTGATGAGATCGGTTAAGAAACTACAAGAGAATGGTTTTTTAATAGGCCAACTCATTACAGATAGACATCGACAAATATTAAAGTGGATACGAGAGGAATTGCCACATGTGACTCACTATTATGATGTGTGGCATATAGCAAAACGTACATGTACATGATGCAGTATTAATATAATGACCATTTTAGGAATAAAGAAAAAGTTACTGGCTCTTGGGAGAAAATAGGACTGTGAAGAGTTGAACAAGTGGATAAAAAGCATTATCAACCACCTATACTGGTGTGCCTTGTCAGGCTCAAAATGATGGTCAAGATTTAATTCGAGATAAGTGGTTTTCTCTGGTGAATCACATACACAACAAGCATAAACATGCTGGTTTATTTAAGAAGTGCAGTCACAGCAGAGTTTACAGGAGAAAAACTAAATGGCTAAAACCACGTGAGATCCATGTATTATGTTTCAATTTGTTATAATATCACATGCAGATACGAAAGTTAGTGAGAAACTCACTGAGCTACTGACGAAAACTCATCTTAGCAATGACATCAGCCAGTTGTTTCCTTTTCATCAGACATCAGTATTAGAGGCCTTTCACAGTTTACTGATTAATTTTCTTCCAAAATCTAAAGCGTTTTCGTACAAAGGAAATGTTGGAAGGTATAATATACATTTACAATATTAACAATTACATTGCATCATCAACATGCAATGCAGGAATATACTAGCAGCTTTGCATTTTAATGAAAATTCTGTCAAGAAGGAAGCTACAACTAGAAATAAAGAGAAACGGTATTCAATCAATTATCCTAAGCATAAAAAAGGAGAACACACAGTTCAACAAATTAAAACATCATCTACTTACAGTAAAATCCTATTTATGAGTATAAGCTATAACTAAAATTAATGATTTTTAGAATATGTAACTGAATTAATGGCAGAGACAATAAGAAGAGTTCAAGGTGCTCCACGGTCTCCATTGCATTTAGAGGAAAGGGGAACACCACCACCACTCAGTGATTCCTGTACAAAGCCTGAGAAGAAAGATGCTATTGAGCATCACACAAGCAGATTTGCCAATAAATGACACTTCATAATAATAATTATAGCTAAATGAAAAATTCAATACATATAATGTCATGGATCAATATATCCTGTATATACAGTAGAAGGAAATGTTGTTCTTATAGAATTCACAGCACATGCTGGAAGAACAACGCGTACCTGTCGTCCTAACCAACCCCAGCACCATCTCACCAGTTGACGATATGCTGTGTATCTATACTTCCTGCAATGCCATGTATTCAATATAAATGCTAAACAACAAACATTGAACTAACTCGTGTAATGGAGCATTATAGTTCCGATACTGTTGCCTATATTGGGAATATGCTGCCTGAAGGACCCATATGTTGAGGCACACGGAAGCAAATCCTGGATGATCTGTTATACAAATTATTTGACTATCCTCTGTCTCAGACAATTTGTTCATAATGGCAGATATTTCCCTGCAACACAGGCATTCTTTTGAAGATTGCATGACAACACAGTGTTCACAAAGACACCTGAGCAAAAACAACAATAAGTGATACAAAATATACTTATGCTGTACCACATGATGTTTGATGTTCTATCTTCATCATCACTTGGATCAGATTCAGAGCTTGAAACATCAGTGTTACTATCACTGAAGACTGGTTCATAGTGGTATGGTGCTATTCCAAGATTAATAGATCCCTCTGGCTCTAAATCTCATATATATTCATCACTGTCACTAATGCAGCCAGCCATATCTATGCCTCTTGTGACATCACGTAAAGCCACGCCCATGAACAGGAAGCAAAATGGCAGGAAGTAAAAAGAGTAACTTTGAAGCTCCATATCTCGGCCAATAATTTTTTTACAAGAAAAAGGAGCTAGGCATGGCAGTTTCTCATTATAAAGATCATTTTAAGCCAATAAAAAAAATACCCCAAAAAATCACTGCACTTACACTTTAAAAGTAACTTTATGTTTTATTGCAGCTCCTTGATTAGTAGTTGTATCACACGGTAGGAGGTGCTAGTTTACATATGTATAGGTTTTATTTTACTGCATATGTGACCATAATTGACAAAAGGTATCTTATGGCGGATAGAAAAATTTGTCTTTATAGCCTTAAAAATCCAACTTCCTGAGCTCCATTTATCATGAAATTACTCCAGAGAATGCAAAAAGTTACTATGTGACTTTTGAAAACAATATTTGTCTAACTGAGGGAATCACAGTCGGATATTTTTCATTATAATGATGAATTTTCAAATCTGCCATAAAGTACCTATTGTCAATTATGGTCACATATAGTCTTAGCAATGGAATATGTAGTAAGATGGAGATAATTGTGAGATGTCTTATGTATTTTGGTATAGGTTCAGGAGCGAATCTAGGATTTAATTTTTGGGGGGGCAATTGTGAGATGGGAGGGGTAATTAGGGGGTGTGGTCAACTAAGCTTGTGCAAAACATTTGGGGAAGTAAAAATTATGAAGAATAAGCTTGCTAAAATGAGTCCCTTTGTGGTTTAAAGGTAGTTTACATAGTCCAGTACAGCAACTGCTTCACAGTTTATATAGGTAAACCAAAGTTTATATTACTCAAGAAAATTTTTGGGGGGGCACTGCCACCCTGGCCCCCCCATAGATCCGCCACTTTATAGGTTATGATTCTAGGTTACATACTTTATATTTGTTTGATGATTATATCATTAATTATGGCCACAGTAAGTACTTTCTTTACTCAATATAAATGAATGCTTGCCAATGCATCTTTTTTGTGTGCATGGATGTTCTCATTAACAATACAATAATTATTGTTTGCACATTGGAATGTGTTCATGTGGTCTATTAATGTGTATTTGCACAATGCAGGTCTCGTAAAGAAACTTAATTCAGGATGGCATGAGTCAACAAATCAAACATTGTATGTCTAAATTACATGTACTGTGTATGTACATATACTTGTATGATTCAATCATGCTTAATATGCATTGTGGAGCTATACATGTCATATATGTATATTAATTGTTGATAAATGCATGTATGCTACTGTTAATTTGTTAGTACATGAATAATTTCACATTCATAATTTACACAGGTACATATTTTACACAAGGACTGCAATGTGGTGTTAAAGAATAAGGTCAGACTTGGAAAGAGATTTAAAAGGTGAAGGGTTATTCCTCTTTTTGAGCAGATGTATCTTATTAGTGGTTTGTAATGTATGTTTGTGACAAACATAAGTTATATCAAGCATATACTTGTACATATTTAGTATCGCATATATAGCCTGTGTGTTTACATTGTTTGCTGTTGATGATGTTTCTTTCATACTTTGCTTTAAGGTATTTATAGCTGCAAATAATTTGTGACCATAATTGACAAAAGGTACCTTATGGCGGGTAGTGAAATTTGTCTTTCTAGCCTAAGAAATCCAACTTCCTGAGCCCCATTTATCATAAAATTACTCCACAGGATGCAAAAAGTTACCATGAAACTTTTAGAAACAATGATTGTCTAACAAAGCACTCACAGGTTGATATTTTCCATTATAACTATTAATTTTAAAATCCGCCATAAGGGCCCTTTTGTCAATTATGGTCACATTTAATGATTCAGCAATAAGGTGTAATAATACTTTCATAGCATGGTGAATGTCTAAGGCTATTGTCTGATTTCGTTTGTGGTAAATAAATTAATTTCTAATAAATAATCATCATTGTAACATTATGTTTTGTTGTAGTTCTTTGATCAGTGGTGCTTTCACACTGGATGAGGTGCCAGTTTCCAGCTGCACAGGTTTTATATTGTTTTAGTCTTAGCAATTGAATACATTGTAAGATAGAATTTTGTGAGATTCCATAGTTTTTTACTATTGTGTTATAGGATATGATCCAAGTCTATAATTTTTTTATGATTAATATTGATTATCTGATTAACTATGGCCACGGTATGTATTTTCTTTACTCGTTAATATAATTAAGTAATGTATATCACATGTATTTATATTGTAGGAAGATTGAAGCTCAAGTATTGAATTGTTTTGCGTTGTTGAACAAACACTATTTTTAAGCATTGCTTTTTTAATTTCTGTTTTGGCCTTACGCTTAAAGATATTTGACTTTTATTATAACTTTTCAATTTAAGAGAAGTTAACTTTATAGATCTATATGTAAATAATAAATTAATAAAAGTTATAGTTCTCTATTGAGTTGCTGTTCCTCCTGCCCCTGCCCCTGCCTCTTAGCCTGCCTCTCGGAAGATTGTTGTACTAAAGTAAAATGGAATAGAAAGGTGATAAATTGGTATCTATATAAACTGCAGATAATAACTAAAATAGTCTTACAATTTCTCTATTGACTTGGCGTAGCTGCCATATGATGAGCTGCCTCTGCCTTTGCAGAGCAGCAACATCAAGAGGAGCTCCAGCTGTAGTGAGTGCTGGAGCAGCAGGGGGATGTGGCGGAGGACCTCCACCTAGCAGTGGAGGACCACCAGCCACTGGTGGAAGACCACCAGCTACTAGTGGAGGACCACCACCCACTGGTGGCAGACCTCCAGCCAGTGGTGGAGGACCTCCATCAACTGGTGGAGGACCACCATCAACTGGTGGAAGACCACCAGCCACTGGTGGAAGACCACCAGCCACTGGTGGCGGACCTCCAGCCAGCGGTGGAGGATCTCCATCCACTGGTGGAGGACCTCCAGCTACTGGAGGTGGCCGAGGATTTGGTGGTGGTGGTGGTGAAGCATCTGGTGGTGGTGGTCGAGCATCTGGTGGTGGTGGTGGTGGCGGGCCTCCTGGAGGTCTTGGTGGAGGCCCTCCAACTACTGGTGGTAGTGGAGGAGGAACTCCATGATGCTCATCATAATCCATAAACTATAAGAAAACATAGTGATAGCAAATGTAAGTTTGTATCTGAACTGACTTGCTTTTTCAAAAAAAGTTGCAAAGCAATAAAGCGTGAGAGCTGTGAGCGGAAAATGAAAAATGGCAACTGAACTGAAGCTGAATGTAAACTTAAATAGTTTCAGAACAGGAAATGGATCTTAGTAATGACAATAGTTATTAATTATTATGAGCTAGGCTATGAATATAATGAATGATTCAAAAATTCAAAAAAATAATGATTGTATGAAAACTGTTTTTATAATGCGGTAGGTCCTTTATGGTTCTTAATTCAAAATTCTTTTCTTCCAGTAATGAACTGATACCTAAGGCAAAAATTATAATTATAATTAAAAAGGATTATTAATTAATAAAATTTAATAAAAAGTATGGAAACAAGTAAATAAAAAAAATTCTATTAATTAAGAAAAAGTAGGGTTGTCAAAAAATAAAAGAAACAAGGGGGTTGAGTTCAACCATAATAATAATTAATTGTTGAAATTAATAATAATAAACTTTAATTAATAAAAAAATAGTTTATTCATAAAAATAATACAAAAATTTCAAACCCTACTTTGCAGAGTTTTATAAAGGAGTATTGTTTCTTTAAAATGACAAATTTTAATGAAAAAATCATAAATAAACTTCTTAGTTCCAGCCTACACAAGCGTGGCGAGTCCAATTACAATTCCTAACAAGTATATATACATTAGTATTTTTCATTTTGTCATTGTTCTGAATCACAAAATTCAAAGAATGCAATAGCCAAATAATTATGCATAATTTAGATTTTTTTATTGCGATGACAGTAATTTATTCAATCAATACTAGCTGAAAATTCTTATTTATGTTTATCACGATAATTAATTTACATCATACTCATTACTAAAATTCTATTTATTTTGTAGTCTGCCTGTTATCATTTTCTGCAAAGTAGGGTTTGAAATTTTTGTATTTTTATAAATAAATTATTTTTTTATTAAAGTTTATTATTATTAATTGAACAAGTAATTATTATTACGGTTGAACTCAACCCCCTTGTTTCTTTTATTTTTTGACAACCCTACTTTTTTTATTTAATAGAAAATTTTTTTATTTACTTTTCCTTTAGATACAAACCAGAGTGAGAAGCTTCTTTCAATTATAAACAACACCAGACTGTGCAATGATATTGCCAAACTTTCTACTAGCTGGCAAACTTCAAACTTGGAGGCATATCATAGTTTAATTATTCAATATGCTCCCAAGAAAGTATCCTTTTCTTATCAAGGAATGATAAGCAAGTTATTCACTAATAATGAAAGCAAACATCACATGAAGTTTGTTTTTCTTGTTTAACTTTAGCAGCAATGCATTACAATCATAATAGTGGAAGAAAGCAAGCTATTACCAAAGGAGGCAAGAAAAAGTTTAGTGTCCTGTTCCCAAAATACAAGAAAGGTGGGCATATAGTACGCGAAATCAAAACCCAAAGTAGCTATGGTGAGTCTCCATTATCACATTTGGTACTTTAATCTGTATTTTAATAGTTTTTCTTGACACAATACTAGAAGAAATGTTTCATTCAATTGATATTGCACTAAACAGTAATACAAATGACACAATGACGAGTCTAGCACCACCATTTCTCAGTACACTGTGATAGACCAGATAAAGATAGTGCTATTAAAGATTACTGCAGCAGATTTAATAATCAATACTCATACTTTCTAAAGTGTAATAAAACTAAATTAAGTTAATGTTGGATATTTAAATGCAGTATAATTATCTGAAGGAAAGCTTTCTTGTATTTTAGACACTGTGCATTAAGGCAAAGGTACACATTTTTGTTTTCCCAGACATCCCCAGCACTAGCTAACAAGTTGTCTGTATGAAATGTGTCTATACTGCCTATAAGTGTGCACATAAAAAAATAACTGAGCCAAAGCAATTGTGCAGCATACTGATTTATTGTTCCTTGTGGAGTATTGCTTCCATAGTGCTGCCTTAGATTAAAGTAAGCTGTTTGTAGAACCCAAACATCAAGGCAAACAGTCTAAAATCCAGGATGAATGGAAATACAGTCCACAGCAACTCTTTTTTTCCCGTATTTGGTGAATTTCCGAACAACAGATACTTCCTGTTGCTCTTGACATTGCCTGACAACATCCACATAAGCACCTGGAACAATTATTACTATTATATAATGCACAAAAATAGTAGTACATACCATTCAGTGCTTCCAACTTGTGACTTATCATCTTCAGGCTCTTCTCCCTCATTGATGTCGGGTAAAGTATTATCCTCGGAGGCAGATGGCTCATACAAGTACGGAATTACACCGTTAATACTTTCTGGCTGGCTTTCTTCAAGCTCAGAAGAAGAATAAGATAGTTCAAGGTCTTGTTCCAGATTACTCATCAAATCATGCCTTTCTATGTGTTCCTACTTCTACGTCATCACATTGCCAAGCCCAAAACCAGAAGGTCTTTTGAAGATGGCTGCTCTGCCATAACTGGCCTCCTTTCAAAATTGTTTTTCTTGCAAGTGCGTAAAGATATGCTCATGCAATATAGCTTAAAGGATTTGTAAAACATCATTTTTAAAAATACATGAAATTTTGGTTGCAGATACCCTTTAGGGAAACACTCCTCTCTGCTATGTATTGCAAGTCCATACTTGCACACCACGATTTCAGCAGTAAAGGATTGTAGTCGTTGACACATACTTCCTTTTTATCTTGTTTATATTATATCGCATAATTTCAAAATATTTTGATGCAAATACTATCTTGTACTGGTCTAGGAAAATCAAATCAGCTTCTTGATACATAGGTCTTTAATATTTCGCGTGCAGTATTTGCTGCACTTGTGCATTTCGTATTTTGTTACTAAAAAATTGAAATCAGGCAACGGATTTCTGTTTGGTATATGACAGGTAATTCTATCATGTATGAAAGAACAGACTTCTTCTGGACGATCAATATTGACAACTGGAGCATTTTTAATCCATAGGAAGATGTGATAATGAGGTGCTCCACGCATTTGATATTCGTTTTTAACATAGTACTGCTACTTTGCCTCGAACACTTCTCTGGATAATGACTATGTTAAAGAAATCCTTAAATTTGTATGAAAATTGTCGCAATACTGAAACAAGGTCCTCAGTACATAATCAAAAAATACGATATGATTGTGGTGCATTATTCACTTTTCTTTAATACTGTGCCATATCAGCTGAATTGTACTCAGTACAACTTAATGTTAGGAAAAGTGTTGGTGAGCCATACTCAGCAATCATTGCTTTGAGTTCAGCTTTCACACGGAACGAATATTGATTTGTGCCCCGTATTGGAGCCAACATGGTACTTAAATTGCCCTCAAATTCTTTATCTAACACAATTATTTCTTCTAATATTTCAGCATCAGTTTGACCAACGTTTCCCCTTGATGTTTTTAATAAAATATATATGCCAGTTTTTAAGGCCTTGTTAATTTTTAATCCATAATAGTGCAAACAATATCAATGATTTCTACAAAATCGAGAAACTTTGTTTACAAGTCTAGATTTTATGTATTCACTAAATGATAAAGTCTGTGCTGGATAGCTTTGTCTGGGATGATGCTCTCCATATTGTCCAGATGGAAATAAAGTAGGAAAGAATAACAAGTCACGATGCTCTTGCCCAGGGTTGCCAGATTGGTTTGGCCAAAAGTTCACAATTTTTTTCACAAAAGTTCGTGTTTATCAAAAAAAGTTCATGCATGCAAAATTTTTTAATTATTTGACTTTTTGGTTAAAATTTTATTCAAAATGTAATTATAATGAATGAACTCAAAGAATATGTGTGACTGTGTGTTTACTACTGTTTAGTCATTAAAATTAGACTCTAATTTTTATCTGATTCATCTGATGAAGAAGAAGGGCTAGAAGATCTACGATACAATGTTTCTGAAGTCATCATCATTCTCATATCAGATGAAGGAGTGAACTCAACACATCCTTCATTTAACTTAATGCCATTCTTAGCTTTTATAATTGCCCGAACTGTACTTACCGTCATCAGCTGCACAAAGTTTCAGCTCAAATTTGCAATCCTTCCGAAAAGTCCTACATATGGGTAAACATGAATTATAATATGCATAACATGACAATTTTGTTACCAAAACACCATGCATGTGCAGCCGCTTACTGTGTTTCTCATTCCTTCTCTAGGTTTAAAATATCTGCAACCATGTATACAGGAATAAATGAGACTATAGCACTTTATACAATGCTTTAACTATAGTACAATGCGGGAAAGAAGCTGCAGGTCAGATCTTCTATAGTCTGACTTACCTGTCTGAGCTCTATCTATCTACATAAAAAAATTTCAATTTGAACTTCCAGCATTGTGTATAAGCCGCCATTATTGCATAATGCCCGAACATTGGTGACTTATTCCATTTGTACCAACTACATTTGGTGATAATTTGACCTTTTTTTGCCTCAGAAAGACAAGTCAAGCATTTTCGAGAAAGAGAATAACTTTCTTTAGAGTTAGTTTTGATTATAAGACTCTCCAGAATTTCACAAGAAAGCGGTGTCAACTCTAAAGTGGAGGTCAAGTGAACAAACACAGACAAAACAACTGCTATACCCTAGTTTCATGCCTATGCGCAGCTCAGGTATTTACCAGGCCTTGCTTTACTATTTTTATATCTTTCTGCTTATAATTTTACTATGTTACAGCAAGAAACCACTTAGTGTTAAAAGGTAGTCTGGATGATCAGAATTATCTAGCAATTTGTACTTGTACATGTGTAGAAATTTAGAGAGGAAATAGGTAAGAGAGAGGGAGGTAAAGAAATACAAATAATAATAATAATTCATGTATGTGTACATGAATGAATATAGTTCTGGAGGGGACATAGTAGGTAAGACAGAGAGACAGAAATACAAAATCATGGTAATAACAGTTGTAGTACATGCAGAATTGTAGTACATTTTTACAAGCTGTGGCCTAGTTATTGTAGTGGTAGCAGAAAGTTTGAGTTGAGAGATGGAGATGCATGAAGTGATGAAGAGAGTGATAGATTTCTTTCTTCATTTTAGTGATGTCGATAAGGATGATAATGGTCTTATACATCGTCAGTTTTGTAGGAAACCTTCATTGGAAGTTAAAAGTGATGATCTGATGATGGCTGCATGAAAGACCCACCCTTTAGTGACAATCCTCTTGTAAATGTATGTTATGCTCAATTTTGACATTGTTTTATTACTCATTTTGTAGATTGACAGTCCTATAGCTCCTGTTGTTGCTGAGCTCAACGAATAAAAAGCAACTAATCAACTCCTTAAGGAATCATGGTAATTTGTAATACAGTACTTGAGCCTCAATAGGTATGATGGTGCTTTTCACTGTTTAAATTGTAATATGGCTCAGCTGTCAATGACCCTTCTTGATGAAGAATTTTAGAATCAAGTAGGTAGGGAGACTGTTCTGGTGGATTTATTGGTCTTGTCCAAAAGTGTTACTGAATGCTGCTCTATTATAAGAAGGGAGGAATTTTGCAAAGTTATATGTCTTTGGCAGGAAGGACTACAAATGTAAAGGAAATGACATCAGAGCAAATCAAAAGTGAGTGGCCCATATTTTTAAAGGCTTGTTTCAATATTTGTACTACTATAGGGGGTAATGCTGGTATAAAATTAATGCTCTCTGACAATAAAAAGTTTTCAGTTGTGGAAGTGAAGATCATAGTCATATTATTAAAGTATGTACATTGCATTATGTTATGATCGTGTGTTTATACAATGTTTAATTAGAGTATTTATGACCATTTACCTCAACAGAAGAAATTGGATCATGGAGAGACAGAAAAGGCTGAAAAACACTGGAAAAAAAACTAAAAGTCAATTCAAAAATTTTGCATCAACATTGACATTCTTCCACTGGAATTCACTAACTTGCAGACTAAGGCAATGCTTACCAAGAGAAAAGACAATAATCATAAAGTGCTCAGCGTTTAAAACATATTGACGGTATGTTTTAATAAATTGATGTCACAATCATGTTTAGATGTGCATGTAAGTAGGTTCTACAGTTAAAGTTTGTTTCTGAAGAAGAGTTTTGAAGGCTCCTTTTTCAAGACAATAAGTATGAAACTGACCTTTCCTGTCTATCCTAAACTAATTGTGATTGATGCCACCTACCAGCTAAACGAGTATAGAATCTCTCCTTATGTGACACTTATTGTTGATGAAAATGGTGAAAGTAAAAACTTTAGGAATTTATTACTTCCTATGAAATGTTGCGGTAACTTTTAGGCTACTGTAATGAAGTTTGATATAATCCATTTTTGCTGGTGTATTACTGTGATATTGTCATTTGCCAAAAACCTATAATTGTATTTAGGAATCTTGAATGATAGTTCTCCCATTGCAGAGAACATTGAGAGATTATACAAACTGGTATCAGCAGAAATTGAGTTATCAAAATGAAACTTCTTACCAGATTCAAGAAGATTATAAGATTTTGGAACTTAATGCCACAAAGTTACATGTACATGTACTTGCATATTATATGATGTCTTGGATATATGGCATTTCTTTAATAGGCATGTAATAGCTTTGGGTGAAATGAAGGACTTGTTTATAATTTCACTGCAATATGTTGACACA